ATTCATATAGCTAGAAGGACTTCTGGCCTATAATTGGGATCTTTCTGGATATCTTTTTTCGATTTTTCACCTAGCCCAAATTTTTTGACCCTAGAACTCCCAAAAACACCCTACTATTAATGCAACAGGTTTTCGTGACAATGGAGGAGGAGTTGGCCTATTTAGTGCTTCAGATTTTTGGTTAAACATATGATAAGAAATTGGCGAAACCATTTCTTGTCTGACAGGTAAAATACAAGCTGGCTCAAAATTAGGAGCACTTAGCATAATATTTTTTGCTACAGTTGCTTTAGATTGTACATAATTTTTATAGCTAGCTATGAAATTTGCATCATGATCATATAATACTGATGACAACTTATCCTTTTCTAAGTGTGAGGTAGATTAGGAGAAAAGTTCTAGACAAAGATGATTAATTTTAACCTCTTCTTTTAATATGTATTGTTTATATTGCCAGATCTGAAATTTCCTTCTATCAATAGATTAGAGAATTTCTTTTCTTTTCGCATAATTATTTGAAATAATATTTCTAGAAATATATCTCTTTAAGTGGCTATCATAATAGATACGAAGGTTATAGCCAGTTCCAGATATGAAAACTAAGGAGTCACATATATTACAATAAATATAATCAGTTGGTTAACCAGTGTGGACTTTTTCATTTTCATAAAGCTTTTCACATATTATAATATATTCATTCTTAGAAAGGATTCTTGAATTCTCTTCAAGTATTTTCCTAAATGGATCACGGATATGAGAGCACCACATTTCTGGTATTTTATGATCATGTCTTTTTGTTAAAAACCATATTGCATCAACTATTCTTCCATATTTTTCAAAGTTTTTATCACTATAGCTTATATAATTTAGCTTAAAATAGGTTCTACTATCTAAATCCATATTAGCGTTTTGCTAGATTATAACAGAATATAACGATTTTATTGATTTATAGTGTTTTTAGCGATTTTAACTGATTTAGCATTATATTCTAATAAATATCAGATTTATTTTTATTTGAAACTGATTTGACTAAATTATACCTGATCATCATGTTCGACCAAATTATGTATAGCACCTTCAGCTAAAATTTGTATTACATGAGATCTCTGTTAGTTCCTCAATAGTTCTAGGAGTGTTTCAAGAGCTGGCAAGTTTCTATAAATCATAAGATGATCGGCCAATCATATTTCACCTCCCTTAATCTATTGATAGCTAAGCCACCATTATTATTTGATTAATCATTATATTGATTAATTAATTTGCCTCACAATGATCCTAACACATCACTCCAGTGTTGGTCATGCAAAGACCAATAGACCAAATTACCATAGGGTCTTTTGGTCTAGATCATTTGGTCTATTTATAATTTGTTAATAGACCATTGAATGACTCAGGTCTATTGAAAAATCACATGATTTTAAAATAAGTATATAAAATTAATAAAAATACTCATCAAATATACAGGAAATTTGACGATCTTTCAGAATTTATGAGTGGGATTCGCTAAAATGTCTTTAAATCAATTAGAGTTACAAACAGCTTCCATATTTTGGTACTAAACGAAACATGATTTCTGTCGCATTATCTATAGTTAATTCTTCAAATATTTTGTTCTTTGCTCTTTGGCACAAAATCCGTTAATAAATATCTATCTGCTATACAATAGGTTTCTATCGTGAAAGAAATATTATTTTCTACGATATTATTGTTGTTGGAAGTGGCCCAGTCGATATAATTTGTGTAAAGGTATGATAACATTTTTGCAAAAGATAATGGTTTATAATCTGATATATTAATTTAATGTTTATTTTGATACTTTAATTTTTCGTTTGATATTCAAATAGAAATTTGAATTTTGATCGAATCTCATTCGTCTGCCATGTTGCACAAACTCGTTAAATTAAAAATGATCGGGATTCAATCTCAGAAATTTTAGATAGGTTGCTTTTTTTTAAAAAAAAAGAAAAATTCTAGAAACGTTACTAACATTTCCTTTTTTTTTATTTTTAGGACTCAGCTTTTTTTCTTTTCTTGGTTTAAACATTGTTGAGTATTAGTTTTACTTTTGGTAAATCTTGGGTCTAAACTTAGAAGGTATTTTTTAAAAAAAATTTGTTTTTTTAGAAATGTTAGAAAAAACGTAAATTGAATAATGGAAAATTTTGATTTCAATTACTTCATCGATCAACTATCCCTTATTAATGGATTCTTCTGCGAAAGAAACTGTGGCTATGGAATTTTACACAACTAATTTTGGTGGTGACAATTCTTAGGACATAATTATAGGTTTCCGTTTGTAATCAATAATGGCCACTGTTAGTTCAGAATCTTTAAAGAAACCAATTAATGGCGAAAAGAAAGTTCTCCCTTAATACCAAATCTTGTTGATTGTTCCGATGGCTGTTGAACTCTGCGTACTCAAATGTGTGCTATAGAAAATAGAAAGTTTTGTCAATACAAACTTGGTTTTAACAAAAAGGTTTAATATTAGAGTCAAATTGGAAATTGAGGTTTCAGTTAATTGAGACACTTTCCTTTAAAATCTATTATATCAAAACCTGTGCCTATTATTACTCAAAATGATAATCCACCGTGACTTTTATACATTTTGTTGCTGAATGTGAATTAGTAAGAGGGTTTCGTTGTCCATGGTATATTAACCTTAATTTTAAGGATAGTACATGTTTAATGCTTCATCTTCGTAATAATCGTATGCACTTGAAATTTGATACAAAGTTATTTCATTTCAAAATAATTTTTTTTTTTGAAAAATTAATAACATTTATTTCACAATAGTAAATCGATCTGAGGTGCAAACATTTTGTAAAATGGCAAACAACCACAACGCGAACGCGTAATTGTTGTTATTCAAAGATGATCTTCAGAGTTAGATTTTTTGATATTGATAAGCACGAAGGTATCAGGAATTCAAAACCATTTATGCATCCTGTAAAGCAATACACAACGTTACCTGTGGCATTATCATCATTGCCTTTACAAGCATTTTATGATTCTTATATCTTCATCTTCATGCCATTCATTTGTGATGAAAATGTAAATGATTCTGAGGATGATGATATTTGTACTCATTGGGTGGAACAGCTCAACGATGAGATATATATGCTTACTTTAAAAAAAAAAAAAAAAAAATAATAATAATAATAATTATTATTATCCTATAATTTATCTTTGTATCATTATAGTTACTTGACGAAATATCAGATGTGGATGATAAAGATGAAAAATTTGGAATATATTTTAGAAACACAAAAGTAACGTTATTAATAATCATTATTACTGGCACAAAAATATAAGCGTTTTTTTTCACTATCCAGCTGACCTATACTAGTATTTCCTTTACTTTGGTTGATTTCTTTACTATATTCTTTTTACCACTGAATTTTTCAGATTTTTTCTTTCTCTTTCCTATCTCTCTCAACCGACTGGCGGTCTTTTTTATCTGTTGACAATCACGTTTTTTTTCTAGTTCTTCAGGTTTAATATTCTTTATTTCAAACTTAATCAGGCTTTTTACCACCTCCTTTTTCTATAATACCTTTTTCACACCTATACCAACTTGACAAGTCCTTTATCTTTCACATTACCATTTGGCACTAAATTACGGCTTCTTTTTTTAATTCAGGTGAATAAATTTCATATACCTCACTCTTTTCAAAAATTTCCCTACTGTTGCTCTTCTTTCTTTTTTAAAGAGAATGGACTCTTGAAGCTTTGAAAAAAGTTTTGTAAGTCCATGGTGAGGGTACTTTTCGGTATTAACTTGAAAGAGTTATTAATTTTTCTTTTTTTTATATTTTGTAGAGGAAATTCTTATATATTAGAAGAATTAGACAAGTAGTTTCGGATTGTTCTCTTAAAACTTTTTAAATTTAAGTTTATTCGATGCGATCCTCTATAGTTAAAATAAGGATTATGAAAAAATAAGAAAATAAATTAGATACTTAATATACGAAGGTATATAATCCATCGGAAAACGAATTTTTTTTGGTATTGACTTAAGAATTATATTATTTGTAATATTTTAATTAAATTAAAACATATAATAAAATAATTTTTTAATGATAAATTTTTTAATTTTGCATTAAAATTAATTTAAAATTTTTAAAATAAATAAACAAACAAAATTATTTAATCGCATATATTATCAACAAAATTTATTATTATATATTAAATTTCAATTGATTCAAGATCAATAACAAATGATGGAGCTTCGAGACCAGTTGTAAATAAATCAAATAAAATCTATTTTGCTTTTGAATCTTCTGCTAGATGAATATTTCTATCTATACTTCGATTTTTAATATTAATTTCGTCCTCATATAATTCATCATTAACCATTTCAATCCAATGATTAATACATGCACCCCAGTCTAATGTTGTCATTTCCTTACCATTTTCTTCCTCTTCATTATTGCTATTATCTTCTTCTTCGTCAGAATAATCTGATACCCGAAATGCTTCAAATTCACTAGTATTCGCCTCTATTTCATCATTTAAGAACTGTATTTTATTAATAGAATTAAATTGTGATATTTTTTTTGATTTTTGTATATTTCGAAGAACCTTTTGTTTTTGAAGTTCAGCTTGTAATTAACTCATCACCAATACTTTGTTATGCTTTCTCAATAAAATACTATTAGTAAATTAAAATTATTAAATTAAAAATTAAAAATAAAAA